CCCTCTGCAACCCCCCCTCCCCCCTCCCCCTGGGGACGGACTCTCCTTGGCTCACACGGCTCCACGTCTAACCTTTGCTCCCGCTGCCGCGTCCGAGTGCACCGCCCCCCGTTCACCTGCCTTTCTCGCTCCTGCCGTGCCCACGTGCAGTTTCCTTATTGACTCAGGCACGCCCTGGGCAGGCCGCACACCCTGCTCCCCTGGACCCCAGGATCCTGGGGCGTGTGACCAGGGCTCCTAAGCTAGGACTTGCAGTTCCTGCTCCCTGCTCCCTGGGAGCAGTGACTGCGGCTCTGACAGGTGCCCATCGAAATAAAGGCCCCGGCCCGGCTGGTGTGGCTCAGTGGTTGAGCCTCGGCCTGTGAACCGGGAGGTCACGGTTCGATTCCCAGTCGGGGCACATGCCTGGGTTGTGGGCTTGATCCCCAGTGTGGGGCGTGCAGGAGGCAGCCCATCAATGATACTCTCACATCATTGATCTTTCTCTCTCTCTCTCTCTCTCTCTCTCTCACCCCCTTCCTCCTTGAAACCAATAAAAATATATTTGAAAAGAAAAAGAAAGGTGCAGAACAAAAGCGGAGGCCTGGGGTCGGGCGGGAGCTGCCCCTCCCTTTCCTGTCAAAATGACGGAGGGACCAGATTGGAAAGGGATGGGCATCCCCCTGAGCCGGGGCTGGGGCAGAGCCGGCGGCATTGGTCCGGGGGCAGCCGCCTCCCCCAGCCTCTCCGAGCCGCCCCCACCTAAAGGCCTCACCCGCCGGCTGGGCCGTAGCCCCCGGGTCTCATCTAACAAGCGTCCTCACACGGCCCCCCTCACCTTCCTCCAGGAGCAGCCCATCGGACAACGAGCTGTCGTCGGAGACACTGAGTTCTGGGAGAACAGAGGGGAGAGAAGAGATGGGGGTGAGGAACCCAACACACCTCCATCCACATCCGGGGCAGCCGGGACCAGGACCTGCCCTGCCCCTGCCCCACGGAGCCCTCCGCTGTGTGAAAACACGGCCCTGGGTTGGGAGTCTATTACTTGGAGGTAAGAAAAAAAACCAGATGCCGTAACCAGTTAGCTCAGTGGAGAGACACTGAGTTCTGGGAGAACAGAGGGGAGAGAAGAGATGGGGGTGAGGAACCCAACGCACGTCCATCCACATCCGGGGCAGCCGGGACCGGGACCTGCCCTGCCCCTGCCCCTGCCCCACCGAGCCCTCCGCTGTGTGAAAACACGGCCCTGGGCGGGAGCTTACTACTTGGAGGTAAGAAAAAAAACCAGATGCTGTA